AGGTGGCATGGTGGTTGAAGACGCTGGACTCCCACATGGTTGACCATGGTTCAAGTCCTAGACCTGGTGGCTTGCTTTCTCACTTTCTCTCTCTTTCCTTTCTCTCTCTCTCTCCCCTCTCGCTGGTCAAGTTTAAGTAAATAAATAAATAAAATAGAATAAAATCTTTTTTAAAAATTACAGGGATTAAACTTACCACAGCTATGAGAACTTATACAGAATTATACACAAAATATTGCTCCCGGGAAATTAGGAACTGGGCCTTAAGTCAGGCTAGCAGTCAGAACGAAAGCTGGATATGAAGTGGGGAGATCAAGAAGAAATAAAAACTTCTAATAATGAATTGGAACCCACAAGGACAAACTCAACCCTGCAATTGACACCACCTCTAGCCTAGATTACAGGGGCTGGCAGGTGGCATGGTGGTTGAAGACGCTGGACTCCCACATGGTTGACCATGGTTCAAGTCCTAGACCTGGTGGCTTGCTTTCTCACTTTCTCTCTCTTTCCTTTCTCTCTCTCTCTCCCCTCTCGCTGGTCAAGTTTAAGTAAATAAATAAATAAAATAGAATAAAATCTTTTTTAAAAATTACAGGGATTAAACTTACCACAGCTATGAGAACTTATACAGAATTATACACAAAATATTGCTCCCGGGAAATTAGGAACTGGGCCTTAAGTCAGGCTAGCAGTCAGAACGAAAGCTGGATATGAAGTGGGGAGATCAAGAAGAAATAAAAACTTCTAATAATGAATTGGAACCCACAAGGACAAACTCAACCCTGCAATTGACACCACCTCTAGCCTAGATGGCATGCACAACCTACTGAATAATCTAGCACTCTTTGTATGAAACTGAACAAAACTTGGTTCAAGGCTCAAAGATGTTAAAGGAAGAGATCTGATGGAAGTTGTAAGAGCTGCAGATCCAGGTGCTCCCCTCACCAATAAGGTGAGTTTGTAGATCAGATGTAATGTGTGGATGCTGCCACAATGTTTATCACTTCTTGCCAACCTTCACAGGCTGCCTCTTCACTTCTGCTTTCCAAATTTTGTGTGAATTTCTCTTGAAACTGAAACCATACAAGACAGATGAAGTTCCAGCTTAGCTATGTTGACGACAGAAAGTGACCAGATATCAAACCACAAATTTAAGAAGCTCAAAGGATTTCAAGTAAAATGAAAACAAAGAAAGCCACATCTATGCACATCATAGTTATTGAAAGCTAATATAAAGAGAAAAGTCTTAAAAGCAGACAGAGGAAAAACTACTTTCAAAAAGAACAAAAATAATAATGACATCAGACTTCTGAAAAGAAACTATTTAAAACAAGAGGAATGACTCCATAGAACAGTGGTAACATGCTACTCAAGAGCAGCCAGATTGGGACCAGCAGTTGGCGTAATGGCTATATTGCTAGACTCCCATGTAGTTGACTGCAGTTCAAGTCCCCGACCCAGTGACTTAAACTCACGCCACGCACATGTGTGTGTGCCCAAGATCCTGAGAGGAGAAGGGATTATGACATGGTCATCCCCCCCACCAGGGGAGGTGATTTCTCACTTTCTGTCTCTCTGTCTCTTTCTGGCAAGCACACGCACCCTATAGGAAAAACCTCTCCCCAAAAAAACTAGTCAGACCAATATAGAAAATGAAGTTCAATTCCCTTGCCCAGATGGCCTGAAACATGCCAGGCACATGTGTACATGCCCAGGATCCAATGGACTGGAAGACTGGAGAAAGGGGATCTCAGTATGACTGACCAGACTCTGTAGAAGTCACTTTCTCACACTGTCATGTGTGTGCACATGTACTCCATCATGAGTAAAGGAAATTTAAAAAGCAAGAAGATAAATCAATTAAAAAGTCAACATGCTGAAAGAAAAAAAAAATCCAAATTTGAATTCTACACCCATATCCTTCAAGTATAAAGATAAAACAAAACCATTTTCACAAAAATAAAAACTGAGCAACTTGTCACCAGCAGATTTTTATAAAGGAAATTCTATATTTTTAATACAAAAATAAAAGATCTAGGCCTGGCATATGGCCTAGTGGTTAAGGAAACTGGATCCTATATGGTTGACAACACAGTTTAAATCCTGGCCCCAGTGCCTTAAAAAAAAACCACATTGGGTACAAAACCCTGACAAGATGAAGAAGTGAAGAAGGAATTTTGATATGACCATACTCCACTGAGGGGTTCTTGATTCCTCAATTAAAAAGGCAAATACGGGCCAAACCATGGGAGTACGTGCTGGTTAGCACTGCTACTAGACAGGCTGAGGCTACATGGGAGGCCCAGGCTCAATTTCGACACCCTAGAAGCCAGGCATGGGTGAATGTGACTGTGGTCCAAGCTACTCAGAAAACTGAGGCAGAAGGCTTGCAAGCTCATGGCCAGCACAGGCAACACAGGGAGAAAGTACGTGAAAGAGCTAGGAATGGCAGTGTGTGCCCGAAGTTCCAGCTACTCAGGAAACTGAGACAGGAGGAATCAGTCTTTAAGAAAAAAAGGCAAATGATTAGATAAGTCTAAATGAATATTAACCATACAAAACAACAAAAATAATAAAGTCACATATAGGATTAAAATATATGATGACAATGGCTTTTAAGTCAAGAGGTGAATGAAATTGGGTGTATCAAGATCCTTGCATTATACAAAAAAGTAGTAAAATATTAGTATTAGATTGATGAGTCGAGATCATGTTTGGTTTATAATTTAAAGGGTAGGCATTAAAAAAATAGCAAGAGTGAGTAAGTCAGAAGAGATGAGTATACCTTTCTAAGTTAATGGGGAGAAAAATGAAATAATAAAAATAATAAAAAATATTTAATACAAAATAAGGCAAGAAGAGAAAAATGAATATAGAACTGACAGGACAATTAAGACTATGAAAACCCTGACAAGATGAAAAAGTGAAGAAGGAATTTTGGTATGACCATACTCCACTGAGGGGTGCTTGATTCCTCAATTAAAAAGGCAAATATGGGCCAAACCATGGGAGTACATGCTGGTTAGCACTGAGCTCAAATATATCAGTAATTACATTGGTACAGAGCTTTGGTTTTGTATGGTTGGTTGGGTGTTTTGTTTTGGAGAGGTTTTTTTTTTTGTTTGTTTGGTTTTTTTGGCTATAGAGCATGAGTGCTCACCAGAAAGACAGACAGAAAGCAAGAAATCACTCAGGAGAGTGATCGCCACGCCACAATCCCTTCTCCTCCATTCTCCTCTCAGGATCTTGGCCACACACACACACACACTCCACGTTAGTTTAAACCACTGGGTATAGTATTCAAACTGCGGTCGACTACATGGGAGTCCAGCAACATAACCATTACACCGCCTGCTGGTCTCTGTACAGAGATGTTTTTATTCATAACAACAACAAAAAAATACTACTAAAATGGAATGATTAAAAAACCTAAACACATGTTATTTACAAGAGAAACTAGTAAAATTAAGATACAGAACGGTTAAAGAAAATGACAGAAAATAATCCATACAAAAGTAGTAGGTTAATATGTATCATACATAATAGTTTTTCAAGGTAAAAACATTATTAAGGAAATGAGACTATGCCTACTCTGTAAATGTAAAGATTAACTTTGCACAAGGATCAAGGACTTCACTGGGGGACCAGCAGTTAGCGTAATGGCTATGTCGCTGAACTCCCATGTAGTCAACCGCGGTTCAAGTCCCTGACCCGGTGGCTTAAACTCATGCTGGGTGCATATGTGTGTGTGCCCAAGATCCTGAGAGGAGAATGGAGGAGAAGGGATTGCGATGTGGCCATTCCCCCCCCGGGGGGGGTGATTTCTCGCTTTCTGTCTCTCTGTCTCTGTCTGTCTGTCTGGCAAGCACATGTGCCCTATAGCAAAAACCTTTCCAAAAAAAAAAAAAGAGTGTAAGTAATTTAAGTGTTTATAATTATTTTAAATGAAAAGGGAAAGCAAAATTCTATGTACAGTATGAACATATCAAAATAAGCAAAGAAAAAAAAGCTGGAAAATATACACCAAGTGATTGTCACTTGAGAATAACACAAAGCAGATACTGTATTCTCTAATTTTCTGCATTAAAAATAACAAACCATATTTTGCATTTATGTAGGAAAAACTAAATTATATTCCATTTTTTAAGAGATTTTTGCTATAGGGAATATACGCTCACTAGAGAGATAAAAAGCAAGAAATCACTCCCCAGAGAGGATGGGCCATGCCGCAATCCCTTCTCCTCCACTCTCCTCTCAGGATTTCATGTGCACACTAATGTGCACCCAATGTGTTTTAAGCCACTGGGTCCAGGACTTGAACCACGGTCAACTACATGGGAGTCCAGCAACGTGACCACTACACCATCTGCTGGTCCCAACATATTCCATGTTTTAAAAGTTTCATACCCAAACAAACTCTTCTCCCCATGACTATCAAATAAAGGATAAGATGAACAGCGAGGTTAGAAGGAATCAGTTCAAAAAAACTGGAAGGGTTGAGAGGAGTCCAGGAGTAAGTCTAGTCATGAAAGGATACTGCGAAGGACACCCATCCCTGTGTTCAGAGTCCTGGAAAGCCTCCAAAAAACAGAAGGAGGAAGCAGCAGTTGTAAAGCAGAAGGTAGGGCTCAGGGGCAGAGGTCATGAAGACCAAATAGTGTAGGCATCAGAAACCCAAAGACACTAAGGAATAAAATGTGAGGGAATCATTATCTGAGCAGAAGGACTGAGGACAGTGGAAACAAAAAAAAAGTTTCTGCTGAGCCAGATTTGGTCTGAGTGTGAGGCGGAGCACAAGGGAAGGGAATTATAACAGGCTAGCATGCAAAGCATCCTACTCTTGCCCTAAGTTAGGCCTCTTGATCACAAGCTGTGAAAAGCCTAGTTTTGTACACCCTCCCAACTATGCCACCAGATCTTTTCAACCTGATGTGGAAACCAGGTGACTATCATACCAAGAGCCCTTATATACAAGAGCAAGTAGAAAAAGTGAAACTCACCAGTCAAAGCCAAAGTATTCGTTTGATATTTCTAACCACACAAACAGCCAAATCACAGACATGACAAATGAAATGGTCAGGAATGCACAAAATACTTGCTCTGTCTGGGAAAAGAAAGAAGTATAATTTAGTCTATTTATCCACATTACATCAGCAATTTCTGGGTACTCTTACCAAAGGTTAGCTTAGATACAGTGCCATGTAGTACCCTACTCCCCTTTCTACCCCTACTAAATCTTTTTTGTTGTTGTTGTTGAGAGGTTTTTGCTATAGGGCGTGTGTGCTTGTCAGAAAGACAGAGAGAGAGAGAGACAGAGAGACAGAAAGCAAGAAATCACCCCCCAGGGGTTATGGCCACACAGCAATCCCTTCTCCTCTATTCTTCTCTCAGGATCTTGAGCACACACACACGCGCCCAGAGTGATTTTAAGCCACCAGGTCCGGAACTCAAACCGCAGTCGATGACATGGGAGTCCAGCAACATAGCCATTACTCCCTCCCCTACCAAATTTTGCATATGCCTATTTTCAGCATTTATTACACTAAACCATAATTATCTGTTTCTATGTTTATGTCTGATCCCATAGCTTTCTTGTTTTAGTTCTGCTTTAGGACACATGTACTCGCCAGAGAAAGACAGTGAGAGAGAGAGTGAGAAATCACTCCTAAGGGGTGATGGCCACACCACAATCCCTTCTCCTCCATTTTCCTCCTGGGATTTTGGGTGGGCACCCATGCGTACGTGCCCAGTATGATATCAAAGCCACTAGGTCTGCGACACAAATCATGGTTGGCCATGTGGGAGTCCAGTGCCTTAACTACCACATCACCAGCCAAAACAAGTTAGCCCTGCCCAACATGTTTTCTAAGTTACAGGGTCCAGGACTCCATCTACACAGTCAGCCATGGGGAATCTAGCCACCTTAACCTCCAGATCACTTGTTGGTCCAGAGGATATCTTTATGGGGGAAGTATTCTAATTGAGCCTTGAAGGCAAACTCCCACACTGAAAAGCAAATTCAGCCATGTCACAGCTGCCAAATCTTTCCCCAGAGGATTAAGTCTGGGTTACTATATGAGTTATGATCTTAAAAGCCACTCTCATATGAGTAAGAAATCAATACTTACAGCTATTACATGTAAACTAGTAGCTATAATTAAAAATTAAGATTTAAAAAAGAAGACAAAAAATCTTTTAGAGAAAGGAATACATTCAAACTTTTGTTCTAGGAAAAGCATCTATTTTAATTAAGTAGTATGGCCCACAAAAAAAAAATCACCTGTTTGGTACACTTTTTTATGTTAATAATGAAAAGAATAGGAAAGACCTGTGGCCTCATAGTTAAGAAAGCTGGATCCCCACCTGAAAGACAGTGCAGTTTGAATCCTATACCTAGCAGCTCAAGAAACATGCTGGGCAGGGGTCAGTAGGTTGCGTAGTAGTTAAGGGCGCTGGACTCCCACATCTGATACTGGACCTAGCAGCTTTCGCTTTCTCTCTCTCCCTCTCTCTCTCTCTCTCTCTCTCTCCCCCTCTCCCTCTCCCTCCCTCCCTCTCCTCCCCCATTCTCTGGTCAAAATAAAATTAAATTAAATTAATAAAGTTAAATAAAATAATTTTTTAAAAAAGAAGAAAAGAAACATTTTGAGCATGCATGCACACTTGCTCAAAATCCCCACCGTATGACACAGAGAAAAGACTGTGGCATGACCATATCCCATTGCAGGGTTCTTTCTCTCTCTCTTTCTCTCTCTCTCTCTCTCTCTCTCTGGTGAAAACAGAAAAGTCTAGCAAATAAAATAATAATAATAAAAAGAAATAATCTCTGCCCTAAATTCTGAGGTTATTATGAAGAATAAGAATAAATAAATTAAAAAAAAAAAAACAGAAAAGTAGAAAGATCATTCCATAAAGCTAATACGTAGAAGATACCAAAGCTGTAAACTATAACTATATGAGAGTAGGAGGACAAAAAGTACAGGCTTTGACTACATGGGAGTCCAATGACATAGCCATTACGCCAACTGCTGGTCCCAGTTGTTTTGTTGTTTTTTGATCCAGCTGTCTTAACAACCATACCACCAGCTGGTCCAACAGCAGCTCTTCAATCTTCACAGTAAAGCCTATTGGTGGGAACTATGCTATTATTTCCATAATTCTGATGACTGATCTGAAGCCCTGGGATATTAAATAAATAACTTGCTCAAGTTCCTACCATGATGGAACTCTAACTGGAGGTAGTAGTGAAATCATATTTGAAAAATGGCAGGCTTTCTCCAAAACACAAAATCTTATTAGCACTTTTGCTATAGCTACACTCCTTCCCCTGAGGGGGAAAAAAAAGGTCCTGAGAAATATCTTGGGACTTGAGAATAATCCAGTTCAATTCCCCAACTATATAGAGGCCTAGAGCTATCACACAATCAGTCAAGGACAGAATTGGAATTGGGACCCATACATACTCCCAGGCCTTGGTTTGTGAATGTCACCTTTCCCAGGAAGCCTCCCTTTACTTTTCTCAAAATGTCCTCCTTTATAGTTCATGTGACTTACTATCTCATCCCTAAGTAATAACTGTTGAAATCTCTCTACTTTCTCCATCTTTACATCCAGGCTACTAACAACTCTTATTGAAGGCAAAAAATTTCCCTATCTTAATTTTGTTCCTTCTAATACATTTTGTACATAATAAAATAATCATTTTAAAACATATTTCAGACCACATCACCAGCTTTAAATCTTCAGGGGCTCTTTACTACTTACATGGCATAGGTCAAATTATTCAATGCACATAACATCTGGCCCGTCTCCTGCTCTAGTTTCACATTTCCCATCATTCTCCATTTAAAACCTCTGCCCAATCTAAAACCAGCCTTCTAAGACTGGCCCCACAGCTCAGCACTTAAGTGCTGAATCGGATCCCACATGGCTGACTGGGGTTGGAATCCCAGCTCTGGGTGCAACATGGCAAGTGTGCACACTCATGCCTAGGATCCTGACAGGATGGAGAATCAAAGGAAAATGGATGTGGCATGACCAGGCCCCACTGTGGGTTGCTTCTCTCTTTCTGTCATGTATATGCACACTCTATCATAAATAAAATAAAATAAACCTTCTACCAATCTCCAAACTCACCATGCCCTTTAACCCCTTCTCTAAAACCATTTCTTCCATCATTCACAATTCTTTACCTATCCGATTCTTATTCACCCTTCCATTTTCTAAGTAATCTTTGACCTCTCGCTCGCTAGTGCACATACATGCTTCTATTAGCACGTCTCTGACTATATTAAGACTGTAGGGGGACCAGCAATTAGCATAATGGCTATGTCGCTGGACTCCCATGTAGTCGACTGCATTTTGTGTCCTGGACTCAGTGGCTTAAAACTCATGTGGGCGCATGTGCGTGCGTGCCCAAGATCCCTAGAGGAGAATGGAGAAGAAGGGATTGCAGCGTGGCCATCCCCCCTGGGGGGTGATTTCTCACTTTCCATCTCTGTCTCTCTCTGTCTGTCTGGCGAGCACCCCCGTGTTGGCTGGCGAGCCCCTCCCCCCGATAGCAAAAAAAAAAAAAAACCCCTTTAAAAAAAAAAAAAGAAAAAAGACTGTATGTCTTTCCCGTCAGTAAACTGAATTCCTCAAGAACAGAAACCATGCCTGAACCACTTTTCTGTTATCCTCAGTCACTAGCCATGGCCAACCACAGTTCAAGTCCTGGACCTGGCAGTTTGCTTTTTCTCTCTAGCTTTCTCTCTCATCTCCCTAGCTAGACTGTGTTTACAGATAATTGAAAGAACATGTCTGGTGTCTTTGTCTCACTTCAGCTCATTATTTGATGTCTTATACCACAGAATTCACCAAAGGGTCTCAACATACAGTTTAGGAAAAAATAAAGGGGTGGGGGGGCTCTCAGTGAGGCTGCGCCACATACCACCACTTGGCCTTAGAACTCATTAGGGAAAATCAGGCACTAGGCTCACCAACAATAAAGGAGCACTTTGTTTCCCACTTGCTTTCTTCTTTAACTATATTTTTTAATTTCAAGAAAAGCAGATTTAACTTTAATAAATCAAAGAAATGCTAAGAAAATATGCTTAAAACTTAAAGTGAGGAAACAGGTTGGGATTCTGTTCAAATAGTAGGTACAAGAACCTATCGGCAACTCAAGACAAGAAAAAAATCTTTAAAACTGAAAACAAAGCCTAGGAAAAAAATCAACAATGTTTTAGTCAAAAGTCATAAAATTCTATCTCACCAGTTCAGTCTCATGTACTTTATCTTTTGTTGTGATTCAATTTTCCCAGTTAAATTCTGGGATATAATATTCAACTCCAGACTTTTCCGCATGATTAAGTTGGCCATTTTCTTAGTTTTTGAAGTCTTATTGCCTTTTTTTTTTTTCCTTCCTCATGAGCATAGCTCTATTGGAAAACTCAGAGAAAATTAAGGACTCAGACATTCCTATAACCCCTAGCCAAAAGCATCTAATTGCAGGACCAGCAGATGGCAGGATGGTTATATCACTGGACTCCCATATAGTTGACTGTGGCTCAACTCTTGGACCCAGTGGCCTAAAACTCATGCCAGGCGTGTGTGGGTGTGTGCCCAAAATCCAAAGAGGAAAATGAAGAAGTAATTGTGGCATGGTCATCCCCCCTAGCGGGTTATTTCTCGCTTTCTGTCTCTCTGTCTCTCTAGCAAGTGTGCCCTACAACAAAATCTCTCTCATAATTTAAAAAAAAAAAAAAAACTCACGCAGGGCGCATGTGTGTGCATGCCCAAAATCCTGAGAGAAGAATGGAAGAGAAGGAATTGCAGCTTGGCCATTCTCCCTGGGGAGTTATTTCTCATTTTCTATCTCTCTGGCCATCGTATATACCCTATAGTAAAAAGTCTCTCCCTAGGGAGAAAAAAAAAAGTGTCTAATTGAACCATAATCTCACTTTTTCATCAATGTATTCACTAAATTAACACATATAAAAGCTAATGAATAAATAAATAAATTTAAAAGGTATTAAGGAAAAGCAGGGCTAGTCAGTGGCCTGGTGGTTAAGACAGCTATATCCCATTCAACTATGCAGTATGAGTCCCACACCCAGCAGCTTAAAACACATCAGGCAGGTGGGCATGCATGCCCAAAACCTCTAAGAGAAATGGAGAAGGGATTGTGGCATGACCATCCCCCACAGGAGAAGCTTTCTCTCTCTCTTGGGTGAGCACATATACCCTTTGGCAAATTTTTAAAAGGCTTAAAGAAAAAAATAAAGATAGAAAGAAAGAAAATTAAGAAAACAAGTTCCCAGGACCAGCAGATGGCATAACGGCTACATCGCTGGACTCCCACGTAGTTGACCGCAATTTGAGTTCCGAACCCAGCGGCTTAAACTCATGCCAGGCGCGTGTGTGTGTGTGTGCCCAAGATCCCAAGAGGAGAATGGAGGAGAAGGGATTGCAATGTGGCCATCCCCCTGGGAGTGATTTCTTGCTTTCTGTCTCTCTTTCTCTCTCTGTCTTTCTGGTGAGCGCATGTGCCCTATAGCAACCCCCGCCCCCCCCAAAAATAGCAGGTACCCATTTCAGTAAATTTAACTTTGGCTCCAGAATTGGAACAGTACTTTCATAAAAACCTGGAACCCTACTATTCCCAGAATTAGTACCCCAGTGAACCCTCATGGGGCCATCAGAAGCCAGCCCATGCACCCCACATCTGAGAAAGGGTGGTCCAGGTCCTTCCCATTTCTGTGTACCCGAGTGCAGCAACAGGATCCAAGTTTAGTTTTCTCCCACTTTCGGAATTTCCACCGGCAACTGTAGCAGCCAGTAAGGAAGGTGATATAACGTCGGCGGTCAAACAGGTGTGCAATCCATGAATTAATCTTTTTCTTTTTTCCTTTCTTCTTCCTTTCAGAGTCAATCTTGTTGGGCTTAAGCATGACTTACCCTCTGCTGGAAAGACAAATAAAAATATCAGGATCTAGTATACTTCCCCTTAATGTGTCCTCTCCCATCAAAAGAGAAAGAGACCCTAAAATCTTGGACTACAATTGCTGATTTGTCTATTTTTCCTTGGAAGTTTTATTAGTTTTTGATTTATGTTATTTTAAAATCTGTTATTACCTGCAAAAGTGTTTAGAAATATTATGTCTTCTTGGTTGACTATTAATGACCTTTATCCCTAGTAATATTCTTGCTCTTAAATATACTTATATTAATTTTGCCATTCCAGTTTTCTTTTAATTAGTGTTATCAAAGTATATATTTTCCAGGACCAGCAGTTAGCGTAATGGCTATGTTGCTGGACTCCCACGTAGTCGACTGTGGTTCGCGTCCTGGACCTGGTGGCTTAAACTCATGCTGGGTGCATGTGTGTGCGTGCCCAGATCCCGAGAGGAGAATGGGAGAGAGGGGATTGCTGCGTGGCCATTTCCCTTGGGAGGTGATTTCTCACTTTCTGTCTCTCTGTCTCTCTCTATCTGGTGAGCGCACGCGCCCTATAGCAAAAACCTCTTCAAAAAAAATAATAATAAAATAAAATAATAAAAATATTTTTCCATGCTTTTAATTTTAATTTGTTCATTTATATTTAAAGAAGATGAATATGACAAACATAACTTGCTTTTTAAAACCCGACAGCTAGCAGGGTAGCAAGTGGTTAAGCCCTATGGGGAGCTAGATGCCACACTGCTGATTACAGTTAAAATCCCAGTCCTGGTAACTTAAAAAACATGCCAGGGGGCTCAGCAGGTGGCAAGGTGGTTAAGGCACTGGACTCCCAGACTGCCAATTTTAGTTCAAGTCCCAGACCTGGTGGCTTGAAAATCACACTGGGGATATGCACAAGTGTGCCCAAAATCCCAGGACGAAAATGGAGGAAAGGGATTGCAGGGTGGCCATCCTCCTAGGGAGTGATTTCTCACTTTTCCTCTCACTGTCTCGCTGTACTGAGTGCACACACCCTGTGTGTGGGGGGGAAAAAAACTTTAAAAAAAAAAGTAAAAGAAAAACATGCAAGGTTCATGTGCATGCATCCCAGAATATTGACAGGATGAAAAACAGAGAAAAGTGATTGTAATTTAACCACATTCCACTCAGGTGTGATTTCTTCTTCTCTCTTGCCCCCTGAAGTGCACACACTCCAGGCAATAACAAAATATATAGAAAATAAAGCTCAACTGACAATGTCTGCCTTTAAAAGTTAAAGGTTGGGACCAGTAGGTGACATGGAGGTTAAGGTGCTGGACTCTCACATAGCCAACAGCAGCCTGAGTCTCAAACCCAGAGGATTGAAAATCATGCCAGGCACATGCCCACACACCTTCAAAATCCCAAGAAAAGAATGGTGGAGAGGGGACTGTGATGTGGCCATCTCCACTCGCTCTCCTTCTTTGTCAAGCACATGTGCCCCATGACAAAAAAATAAAACCTTTAAAAAGGGGGAGGGGGGTACCTAAATGACTATTTACATTTAATTTAGTTATGTATATGCTTGGATTTAAAACTACAAACTTGCTTTGTTTTCTCTTTGTTCCATTTGTTCTTATTTTCTATTCACTCTTGCTGCCTTCTTTTGGGGAAAATACAACCACTTTAGAAAATAATTTGGTAGTTTCCTGTAAATTTAAATACACACAAGAACAGTCTATGAATCCCACTTCTTAGTACTAACCTAAGTGAAATGAAAACTTAGTTCATAGAAAGACATTTCCAATTTTTGTCTTCAATATTTACAGAAACTTTACTTGTAAGTAATGGCTATGTTGCTGGACTCCCACGTAGTCGACTGTGGTTCGCGTCCTGGACCTGGTGGCTTAAACTCATGCTGGGTGCATGTGTGTGCGTGCCCAGATCCCGAGCGGAGAATGGGAGAGAGGGGATTGCTGCGTGGCCATTTCCCTTGGGAGGTGATTTCTCACTTTCTGTCTCTCTGTCTCTCTCTATCTGGTGAGCGCACGCGCCCTATAGCAAAAACCTCTTCAAAAAAAATAATAATAAAATAAAATAATAAAAATATTTTTCCATGCTTTTAATTTTAATTTGTTCATTTATATTTAAAGAAGATGAATATGACAAACATAACTTGCTTTTTAAAACCCGACAGCTAGCAGGGTAGCAAGTGGTTAAGCCCTATGGGGAGCTAGATGCCACACTGCTGATTACAGTTAAAATCCCAGTCCTGGTAACTTAAAAAACATGCCAGGGGGCTCAGCAGGTGGCAAGGTGGTTAAGGCACTGGACTCCCAGACTGCCAATTTTAGTTCAAGTCCCAGACCTGGTGGCTTGAAAATCACACTGGGGATATGCACAAGTGTGCCCAAAATCCCAGGACGAAAATGGAGGAAAGGGATTGCAGGGTGGCCATCCTCCTAGGGAGTGATTTCTCACTTTTCCTCTCACTGTCTCGCTGTACTGAGTGCACACACCCTGTGTGTGGGGGGGAAAAAAACTTTAAAAAAAAAAGTAAAAGAAAAACATGCAAGGTTCATGTGCATGCATCCCAGAATATTGACAGGATGAAAAACAGAGAAAAGTGATTGTAATTTAACCACATTCCACTCAGGTGTGATTTCTTCTTCTCTCTTGCCCCCTGAAGTGCACACACTCCAGGCAATAACAAAATATATAGAAAATAAAGCTCAACTGACAATGTCTGCCTTTAAAAGTTAAAGGTTGGGACCAGTAGGTGACATGGAGGTTAAGGTGCTGGACTCTCACATAGCCAACAGCAGCCTGAGTCTCAAACCCAGAGGATTGAAAATCATGCCAGGCACATGCCCACACACCTTCAAAATCCCAAGAAAAGAATGGTGGAGAGGGGACTGTGATGTGGCCATCTCCACTCGCTCTCCTTCTTTGTCAAGCACATGTGCCCCATGACAAAAAAATAAAACCTTTAAAAAGGGGGAGGGGGGTACCTAAATGACTATTTACATTTAATTTAGTTATGTATATGCTTGGATTTAAAACTACAAACTTGCTTTGTTTTCTCTTTGTTCCATTTGTTCTTATTTTCTATTCACTCTTGCTGCCTTCTTTTGGGGAAAATACAACCACTTTAGAAAATAATTTGGTAGTTTCCTGTAAATTTAAATACACACAAGAACAGTCTATGAATCCCACTTCTTAGTACTAACCTAAGTGAAATGAAAACTTAGTTCATAGAAAGACATTTCCAATTTTTGTCTTCAATATTTACAGAAACTTTACTTGTAATCACCATAAACTGGACACAATCCAAATGTCCTTCAAAAGGTGAATGAATAAACAAACTGACATACATGTAACACTACTCAGCCATACAAAGAACACTCCTTGATCATACAACATGAATAAAGCTTTGAATGTATTATGCCAAATGAAAGAACTCACACTCAAAATAGTTTATGACTAATTTATATGGCATTTTTTGAGATACACAAAACTACAGAAATGGCAACAGATCAGTGGTTGCCAGAAGCTAAAAGTAGAGGAAGGGGAGATAACTAAAAAAAGGACATGGGAAAATATTTTAGAATGATGAAACTGTCCTGCATCTTAATTGTGATGTGGTTACACAACTGTATGCATTTGTCAAAATTTGTATATACACTAAAAAGGATTAAGTTTAGTGTGTATAAGTCCTACTGCAATTAAAAGAAATTCCATAAATCATATGGTTTGATGTGTGGACTTCTCTGTCTCTTCCTCTTTCTCTCTCTTTCTTTCTTCATGGGGTGTGAACCCCAAAACAGTCCTCATACCAATATCCACTCCCAGTCTCAGCCAGCCTGGTAGTGGGTGCTCAAAGGGTTCCAGAACACAAACCCCAGACTTTTCCCACATACACTCATTTGCACTAAAACTGCTCCACTGCCTAGCCCTGATGTGTGGATCTTAATTGGAACATATAAAAAGACTTTTTGGAAGAAACTGTAGAAATTTGAATACAGGGCCAGCCAGGTGGCGTGGTGTTTAAAATGGCTGAATCCCACATGGCAAATTATGTGGTTTGAATCCCAGACCCAGTGGCTTGAAAAACACACTGGGCATATGTGTATGCATGTCCACAATACCAGGAGGAGAGTGGAGGAGAAGGGACTGCAGGTGGTCATCCCCCCTGGGAAATGATTTCTCACCTTCTCTCTCTGTCTCTCCCTGTTGAATCCATGTGATCTAGAGCAAATTTTAAAAAAATAAGTGAGACCAGCAGTTGGTGTAATGGCTATGTCACTGGACTCCCATGTAGTCGACCGCGGTTCAAGTCCCAGAACCAGTGGCTTAAATGCACGCCAGACACAGGTGCATGCATGCCCAAGATCCCAAGAGTAGAAGGGATGGTGATATGGCCAACTCCCTGGGGGGGAGGGGTGATTTCTCGCTTTCTGTCTCTCTTTCTGGCGAGCATATGTGCCCCACAGCAAAAACCTCTCCACAAAAAAAAAAAAAAAAAAAAAAAAAACCAGGTGGAGTAATGGTTAAGGCAGTAGATTCCCATGTAATTGACTGCAGTTCAACTCCCAGACTCAGCAGCTTGAAATTCATGCTGGGTATGTGTGCATGTGTGCTCAAAATCCAAAAAGACTAAAAGAGAAGGGATTGCAGCATGGCCATGCCCCCCGGGGGGTGATTTCTTGCTTTCTGTCTCTCTGTCTCTCTAATGAGCTCACATGCCCTCTAGCAAAAATTAAACACACATACAATGGAGGAAGGAGCCAGCAGGCAGTACAGTGGTAGAGGTACTGGATCCCACATGGTCCACTCTGTGGTTTGAGTCTCTGACCCACAGTGTGTTCAAAAACACAAAAACACACTGTGTGTGTGTGTGTGTGTGTGTGTGTGTGTGTGTGTGTGTGTATGCACCTGAAATCCCAAGAGAATGGAGAAGGAGGAATTGTGCAATGGCCATTCCCCTGGGAGATGATTTCTCACTTTCCCTCTCTCTCTGTCTCACGCATCCTATGCAAACAAACAAACAAACAAACAAAACACATTAATAGGATGGGAGAGGGCAAAGTAAAATAAAAATGATTAATCTAAAAGAAAGCAAATAAAAGTGAATAGAAAAATGCCAGATTTAAACCTAAATAAATATAAATGGACTACTCAAAAAAAAAAGGAAAATTGTCTAACTAGAAGAATGATAAAATCTAACCATAGATTCCTTACAAATGTTCGCTTTGTTGAGATGGAAAGTAAATGAATAGAGAATAAGCCTTTTACGTGTATCAGTTTTTTTTTTTTTTTTGAGAGATTTTCACTGTAGGGCGCGTGCGCTCGCCAGACAGACAGAGAGAGACATAGAGACAGAAAGCAAGAAATCACCCCCCAAGGGGGATGGTCACGCCGCAATCCCTTCTCCTCCATTCTCCTCTCAGGGTCTTGGGCACGCACGCACACACGCCCGGCGTGAGTTTTAAGCCACCGGGTCCGGGACACGAACCACGGTCGACTACGTGGGAGTCCAGCGACATAGCCATTACGCTAACTGCTGGTTCCCACATGTATCAGTTTTATTGCCTGGACAGTGCCACGTGCCAACCAAACACAAAATCTCAGTCACAGTTAACAGTTTATTTCTCATGGGACCAGCAGTTAGCATAATGGCTATGTTGCTGGACTCCCATGTAGTTGACTGTGCTTCGAGTCCTGGACCTGGGGGCTTAAACTCATGCCAGGCGCATGTGCATGTGTGCCCCCAAGATCCCGAGAGGAGAATGAAGGAGAAGGGATTGTGGTGTGGCCATCCTCCTGGGGTGTGATTTCTCGCTTTCTGTCTCTTTCTTTCTTTCTGGTGAGCACACGCACCCTATAGCAAAAATAAAAACTCTAAAAAAAAAAAAAAAAAAGGAAGAAAAACAGTTTATTGCTTACACAGCTGAGCTCATCAGCATTCTATTCTGCTGATCTAGGCTGGGTCAACTAGTATAACTGAAATTACTTGCCTCTGCTCCAGGTGACACTCAAACAGGTTGGCCTGTGTATGGTCTCAGGTGATGGAAGGTGTCCAAGAAAGCCAGTCAAGCTCATTTTACACCTCTGCTTCAGGGGATGTCTGTTCACATCCCAAAGTCAAAAATCAAGGCAGATCACTTCATGTTAGGAGAACACAACAAAGTTATAAGATGAAGGGTATGAAAACAAAAGGTGAAATTTAAGGAAGGGTAAAGAAAGGGGAACAAATGCTATCATGTACTTCACTATATGACCAGCATACAAGTAAAAATTGAGGCAAAAAAAGCATTCTCAAGATAAAGAGGGACATTTTATAATGATGTAAAAAGATTTTTTAAAAGGATTTTCAATTTGTAGGTGCCAACTCACATGATGTCTAAATGAAAAACAGACAAATCCACAGTCATAGATTTAGCATCTCTTTCCATCTTAATAAAGAAAAGGGTAAGTATACCAAAAAGCCTGTAAACATAAAGTCTTATTAACACAAGACACAGAACTCAACATCTGCAGAACATATATTCCATTCAAATGGGCAAGGCACAGTTATCAAAAGTGATCATATACTGGTTCACACAACTGGTTTCAATAAACTTTAAAGAACTGACATCTTGGGCCATTCAGGAGGCAGTGGTTAAGGCTACTGAATCCCACAAGGCTGTGAGGCTCAATCTGTATGGACCAGCTTGAAAAACACTCTGGGAGAGTGTGTGCACATGCCTAAAATCCCTAGAGGAGACTGGAGAAGGGAAAGTGTGGTCAGACCTTGGGGGTGCTTTCTCATCCCTCTCTGGCGAGCACACATGCCCTATAACGAATTAAAAAACAAAATAACAAAAATGAAGTTAACATTTAAAGAATATATTTTCAACTACAGCACCATGTAGCCAGAAACTGGTAAGAAAAAGATAACTAGAAAATTCCACATTCAGGAATTAAATATAAAGCCCATGGGTTGACAGAAATTAATAATAATGGAAATGAGAAAAAAAAGTCTGATTTGGTTGATGATGTACAGAACTTGGCGTGACTACTTGCAAATACTGGTGTGTCCAAGCACAGACGTAGTGAACAACAGCATTATGATTAGGAGGATGGTAAATGCTCAGACACTGAATACAACACAGCTGTCATGTGGTGCAGCAAGGGGCAGTTTTGGAAGGGGAGCAAGAGAGAGAGGGAGAGTTTACCGCATTCAAATGCACGAATTAAAAAGAGGTTCGAATCACTCTTATTGGCTGCCCAAGCAGTTACAGCCAATCTGTACTCAAGTCTGCAGAAGGAGGACAGGACTCAGGTTTGCCTTTCAGGTTGCTTTAATTACAGAGAAAGGGGGGTTTACAGAGCATCCTATGCTGGCCCAGCAAAGGAGAATGCAGCCCCGCAAAGGCGCAAAGGATGCCGAGTACCGAGGCATAGTCGGTGAGCTGGAGATGAGCTCCACGAAGATCTCAGGGAATGATGGTGGCAGCTGCCATGAGATGACCCAGGGCAAATAAGGAGGAAAAGTCCACCCAGTAATCCTAGAGTACGGAGGTCGCAACCAGTAGTTGACAGAAGAACATCAAAGACTGCAAAGCAGAGGACTGTCAGGGAGAGGAGGAGACAGCGTGCCAAACTGACAGAGCCTCCAGCAGCAAAGGAGGTCTCAGATGCAGCCAGCCGGATCTGGCCCAAGTGGAGGACAGAGCTGATGAGCTGGGCTCAGGCTTTTTTATGTCTCATTTTGACAGGCTCACGGTGACTTGACAAGACATCAAAATATTTTTTGTAATATTTTACATGTAAGTCTCTGGGATTTTGGTCCAAACAAATTGGGATCTGTTTACATATTTTTGCCGGTCACAAGGGGGGGTGAAGCATAGACCGCGCTTACGTCTTTCGTGCTATCAGTCAGCATATGGCCTAGTCTGCTATTAGTGATAAGCACTAGGGTGTTGGCTGAATGCTGAATTTCCGGGAACATAACTAATGCCAATCTGAATGTACTACAAAATGGAGTCAGGTACGCTCTCCGCAGCAGCGTTACAAGCATTCTCTTCACAGCAAACTACGAAGCATTAAACAATATGTCAAGTGTAACGATTCTTGACAGCAAGTAAAGGAACATACTAGGTGTAACAGCAGCTTTTACCGAAACCATCGCCATCACGATTTTCTCTCGCCCTGCCGGGTGCTGAAGCCCACAGAATTCGCGAACAGCGGCGGGCGACGGTAAACCCAGCACTGCCCCTCCAAGCCTCGGCGACGATTCCGCGTCACTCACCAGCCTGACGTCAGCCACTCCTCACCGGCACCTCAGAACACGTTCGAACGTTCACTCGGAACCGTTGGTTTTCCCCTCCAAAACCCATCCTTCGCTACGGCGGTGCCACGTCAGCAGAGGCCACCGTGGTGCCGAGGGGACACGGAGGAGGCCGACGCGCCACGCAGAGCTGGAAGACCGGGGGACTCGGCAGCCGCTCCTCCTCCCCGTACGGCCGCGGGG